AAACGAGCCTGGAGGAAGGTAAAACGAGCCTGGAGGAGAGTAAAACGAGCCTGGAAGAAGGTAAAACGAGCTGGGAGGGGGTGAAACGAGCCTGGAGGATGGTAAAACGAGCCTGGAGGAGGGTAAACCGAGCCTGGAGGAGGGTAAAACCGAGCCTGGAGGAGAGCAGAACGAGCTGGGAGGAGGGTAGAACGAGCCTGGAGGAGGGCAAAAAGAGCCTGCAGGAGGGTAAAACGAGACCGGAAAAAGGTAAAACGAGCCTGGAGGATGGTAAAACGAGCCTGGAGGAGAGTAAAACGAGGCTGGAGGGTTGTAAAACATGGCATAACGAGCTGGGAGGAGGGTAAAACGAGCTTGGAGGAGGGTAAAAAGAGCCTGCAGAAGGGTAAAACGAGACTGGAAGAATGTAAAACGAGCCTGGAGGAGGGTGAAACGAGCCTGGAGGAGGGTAGAACGAGCGTTGAGGAGGGTAAAATGAGCCTGGAGGATAAAGCGCGCTGGGGGGAGGGTAACACGAGCCTGGAGGAGGGTAAAACGAGCCTGAAGGAAGATAATATAAAACGAGGTGGGAGGGGGTAACACCAGCCTGGACGGGGTTAAAACGAGCCTGGAGGAGGGTAAAACGAGCCTGGGGAGGGTAACGCGGGCCTGGAGGAGGGTAAAACGCCACCACCGCCGCCGCCGCCGTCGCCGCCGCCGCCGCCGTCATCGTCGTCGTCGTCGTCGTCGTCGTCGTCGTCGTCAACGTCGCCACCGCCGCCGCCGCCGCCGTCGCCGACATCGTCGTCGTCGCCGTCGTCGTGGTCGCCGTCGCCGTCGTCCGTCGTCCGTCGTCGTCGTCGTCGTCGTCGTCGTCGTCGTCGTCGTCGTCGTCGTCGTCGTCGTCGTCGTCGTCGTCGTCGTCGTCGTCGTCGTCGCGTCGCGTCGTCGCAGTCGTCGTCGTCGTCGTCGTCGTCGTCGTCGTCGTCGTCGTCGGCCGTCGTTCGGCGGTCGTCGCCGCCGCCGCCGGCGTCGCCGTCGCTGTCGCTGTCGCTGTCGTCGTCGTGGTCGTCGGTCGTCGTCCCTCCTCCGCGCCCATTCCCAGGCCTAGCGGAGAACATCCTGCCAGAACGCATGGTCCGGTTTGCTGTCTGGTAGGGTGTGCGCGCAGACGTGCGCGCCCTGATGCGCAGGCATCGTGCGACGCACGATATGTGTGGTGATGGTGAAGATGACGATCGACTGATGGATGTGAACTGTTTTCAATGTCCAAGCGCGGTTGAACCAGTCAAAAAATGTTCACAACGAGCCGATGCGTCTTGCAAGAGAAAAAAGAAAATATATCCGCGCCACGCCAGCCACTAACGCACGTGTACTTGTTTTGGGATTTAAATGCTCAAATGCTAATCACACTTATCCCACCGCGTGTACGCGAACGCAAAGCAATCTTTGAAAAACCTTTCGTGCATGCAGCAGTTGCGCGCAAACACGAACTACGATTGCAACTCGCGGACTTCTTCTGAATTGAACGCAAGCAGGTGCGTATGCACATTTCCATCCGCGTAGTACTCTGCTTCAAAACGGTACTTGTTCAGCACGCGAATGTAGTCACAGTACTTATGAAACACGTAAGTCATCATTACCCTTGCGTATTCGTCCTTCAGTGGCGGGCGCTTTTCCCTGAAAGGATTACAAAAACATGCTTAGATGGCTGTGTATAATCTGCCATATCCTCGTCGAGCTCGGCGATTATTTGTCGTGGGATAGAATCCTCAGCGTAGTCTTTGTCGAAGCGTCGAAAAAGGCCCAGCGTATTCCGCCGCGACGTGTAGTTTTTCACGCGCCCCCAATAATGCACCAAGCCACCCTCGACATTATCTTCGCCTAAATCGATGCGCGCCTCTTCGTCAACGATGTTCAGTAATTGCAGGGTCCACGCAGTATGCTGGGACAAGAACTTTCCAAAGTTTTTAATGGTATCCAACAAGTAGCTCGCGGCTTCACTTGCGTCTCTCGAACGCTCTCCATCAACAAAGCTTCGCAGACGCCCATATCCGCGGAAAACCCAGCGATCGTGGTCATGCTTCATACTACACGTATTTATCGAATAATCGCGGGATAGCGGGTTCATGTCTGTTTTCCATTGGCTGAAATGGTCAATGACACCCTTTGAAATCCACTGCAACTTCGAAATATCTGTCTCATTGGAATCAAAAACAGTTGACATGGAACCAAACACAAATTCGATCAATGGAATGCATCGAGTAAATATCCAAAGTAATAAAACAACCGTCTTCTTAAAGCTGCCATTTGACTCATGAAAGAATTTGCAGATGCTCATCCACTTTTGATCATAGACGCGGTGAATGTCATGATACTGGTTTCTTGCCACGACGCTTGCGTACGATGAAAAAACGATCAGCAGGTCTTTATCGAGAGCGTCTTCATATTGAAACATCGGATAGCAATAATAATCATATACCACAGAACGCATATTCAAGAGAAGAATGACGTTTCGAAGTAATTCTGGAATCGCCAAGCGGGCTTTTTTTTATTGAGTTCCCAGGGGCTGCGCGATGATCGTGGCTCTCGATTGAGAAGTGTATGGCGTTCCATGTTTTGTCTTTCAGCGCATTTCCGAACTTCCTGGCGATCACCCAGCATAAACAATGGATGACGCACCGATCGACGACGGGCAAGCGTTTCATCTCCTTGGTGTCGTTAATTTTTGTTTTCTCCAACGATGCGCGATGCTGAATCGAGTGGTTGGAGAAGCAGGCCTCTTGAGCCTGACATAGCATCATTTCCTGTGCACCACGCGGGTGGTACGACATGAACTGCAAACCGATCTGACGCGTTGCGGCTGGTCCAAACGAGTCGAAGTAATATTACCGCTTGAGAAAACATATTGTAAGGACAGGGGGGCAGGGAAGAGCAGGGCGGAGGGAAGTCTGCTAATTCCTGAAGGTGGTGAAGCGGTAAGCACTCCAGCGTGCCAACATCGCAACATTAAAAACGATATCGATGTGTGTTATGTTTTATATCACGTGGCACCCCCTCTCCTACCGTGTACTGCGTTGCCCCGCCCTTGTTTCACACCCGCCCCCGTATCATCGATTCTATATTGTCTCTCCTCCATATTGGTCCGTCATATTGATCCATCAGATAATGGATCGATATGATGGATCAGGATGATGGGTCAATATGATGGGCAAAGATGATGGATTAATGGATCAAGATGATGGATCAAGATGATGGATCAAGACGATGGGTGGGGGTGATGGGTCAAGATGGTGGATCAATATGATGATGCAAGATGGTGGATCAAGATGGTGGATCGAAATGATGGATCAAGATGATGGGTCAAGATGATGGACCAAGATGGTGGGTCAATATGATGGACCAATATGACGGATCAGTATGATGGACCAAGATGATGGATCAATATGATGGACCATTATAATGGACCAAGATGATGGGTCATGTGTTGGACCAAGATGATGGATCCAGATGATGCGGCCAAAGAGGCCCAAAGGCGGCCCCCTGACACGGCCCCAAGACGGTCCAATAGAGCCCCAATCTGGCCAAGAGGCCCCCAATCACGCCCCGAGAGAGCCCCGAAACGCCCCGAGAAACCTCCAAAGAAAACCCCTATGCGCCCCAATAGGGCCCCATGACGGCCCAGAGAGGTTCCAAGAGCTTCTTCAGACGGCGTCCGACGGGCCGCCAAGAACGCCCTAAGACATCAAAGAAGCCGCCAAGAGGCCCCAAAAGGCCTTCAAGATGCCCTCCAAAGGGGCGCCAGCATGGCCCCAAGAGGCCGCGATCTTGCCCCAAGAGGCCCCAATATACGCCAACGTGCCACTCCCTGCTTGTTCTCCCCATCAATTTCCTCGTCCTCCCCCTCCTCCTCCTCCTCCTCCTCTTCCTCCTCCTCCCCCTACTTCTGTTCCGTGGTCGCGAGATTCGTGGACTAGTGGCCGCCGTGGCTCCCGCTCTGACGCTGCGCGCCCGTCTCGGCCCGCCCCGCAAAATGGCTCCACGTGCGGCCTCGGCGGGCGCGCCCGCATGCCGCCCCCCGCGGCGCGCCCCTCGCGCGGATCGTGCCCCGCAGGGAGCCGGAACCCAATGGCCCACCCCCTTTTTAATAACGCGGATGGTTTTCTGGGCGCGGGCGCGCCAGGGTCGCGGCGGCGACCCTGGCGCGGGCGTTCAATCTTGAACGCGCCCCAGGGGCCCGCGTCGGGCCCCGGGACCCGCGGAAACCAACCCACGGCGTGAAATCAATATCAAAGATAGGGTGGAAAGCCTCAGGGACCTCCTGAATCGCCTCCCCGAGGCAATTGGACAGCTGACAACTGAGAAATCGCGCGCAAGCAGACCCCCCACTTGGGAGAAATGACGAGGGGTCCGATCGAGATGGACCCCCCTGGAACGATGAATGACGGCGGAAGCGTTCCGCCACTAACACCCCCCCCGTTGACGACTGAACCGGCTTGCATGCACTTACCGGGTCAACCCTTCATAACCAGGGGTGATGGGGTAGGGGTAAGGTTCGCATGTGGCCCCCTACCCTGGAAGTCCAGACCCTCTCCCTGGGACCGGCTTTTCGTCCTGGGTCGTTCCTTGACGGTCCCGAGGCCCGGCGAGGGCCCCCAGGGGCCGAAAACAGCGAAAAACCTCCGGTCCCGATTTTTTAACGACGCCCTCACGTCAAGAGGGGACAGGCTCGGAGGTTCTCGAGGCGCCCAGGTCGGGGTTCGCTGCCTGGAGGCATCGAGCCCGTCTGGGGCGCCCCGTCTCCTCCTCCCTCCTCTCTCCTCCTCCTCCTCCTCCTCTCCTCTCTCCTCCTCCTCCTCCTCCTCTCCCCCTCCCCCTCCCCCTCCTCCTATCCTCCTCCTCCCTCCTCCTCCTCCTCCTCTCCTCCTCCTCCTCCCTCCCCTCCTCCTTCCCCCTCCCCCTCCTATCCTCCTCCTCCTCCTCCTCCTCCTCCTCCTCCTCCTCCCCCTCCTCCTCCTCCTCCGAGACTCTTGGGCAGAACGCACCCCGTGCCCCCAATGGGGCCTCAGCACGTGAGCGCCGAGAAGACCCAGGTCTTGCGCGAGATGGCACATCGGCCTTACGCGGCGGCTTGCGCGGGCCGCCGGCGCGGCACGCCACATCACATTAGAGACGAGGGCGCGCACGCGCGACCTTCCGCGGGGCGCTTGCGCGCCAGCGTCGGTGAAGGCGGCGCCGTCTGTCTGCGCCGCTCACGTGCGGTCGGAGGATCGCTCCGCGTCGCCGATGCGCGGCCACGTGTCCGCGGCGTCGGGATGGAGCCCTCCGACCCGATCTACTCTGGCGCCGTCTGCGCGGCCCAGGAGGAGGAGGAGCGAGGAGGAGGAGCGAGGAGGAGGAGCGAGGAGGAGGAGGAGGAGGAGGAGGAGGAGGAGGGGGAGGAGGACAAGCTAGGTGCGCGCGCGCGTCATATCTGACGTCCTACCCCTCCCTCCCATCCCTTACCATGGCGCTGACTTTCTCTATCCGCGGACTAGTGGGTGGTGGTGCGCGTGCGTGCGTGCGTGCGTGCGTGCGTGCGTGCGTGCGTGTGTGCGTGGTTGTGGTTGTGGTTGTGGTTGTGGTTGTGGTTGTGGTTGTGGTTGTGGTTGTGGTTGTGGTTGTGGTTGTGGTTGTGGTGGTGGTGGTGGTGGTGGTTGTGGTGGTGGTGGTGGTGGTGGTGGTGGGTGTGTGTGTGTGTGTGTGCGTGTGTTCGCGTGTGCTGTGGCATGGCACGGGAAATGACGCCAGCGCTGCAGCGGGAGCACGAGTCCAAACGGGCGGAAGCGCGGAAATGATGCCAACGCTACAGCGGGAGCACGATTCGGAACGAGCGGAAGCACGGAAATGAGGCCAGCGCTGCAGCGGGAGCACGATTCGGAACGAGCGGGGCCCGAAAATGAGGCCGGTTGAAAAAAACACAAGCGAAAACCCGTTTCCCGGGAATCCTGTAAAAAACAATACGCGGGGGGGTGTCGGATATCTTCGGGACGCCATCAGGGGAAGTGGGAGAGTATTTTCATATTGTGTAATTGTGGAGGAGGAGGAGGAGGAGGACGAGGGAGGAGGAGGAGGAGGAGGAGGAGGAGGAGGAGGAGGAGGAGGAGGAGGGAGGAGGAGGAGGAGGAGGAGCCGATACGCCTTGGTCAGATTCCAAGAGCGCACGACCCCCTCCCTAAAAGTTAGCGAAAGTGCAGGAGAGCCCAGAATGGAATCGACACGTCGGATCGGCGATCGCCATGGATCAGATCGGCTGAAGTCGGCAGCAGAGTCGGGCGAAGTCGAATCGGCGGGAATCGGCAGGCCAGAAGGGCCTCCGGGGAGAAATCGAAATCCATGTCGGAATCCGAAGTCGAATCGAATCGGAATCGGAAGCCGTCGAACTTGCATGGAATCGAATGGGAGGAACGGAAATGAGCCCTGAAGCAGGGAGGAGGAGGAGGAGAAGGAGGAGGAGGATGAGGAGGAGCAGGAGGAGGAGAAGGAGGAGGAGAAGAAGGAGAAGGAGGAGGAGGAGGAAGAGGGTGGAGGAGGAGGAGGAGGAGGAATAATAATAATAAGAAGAATAATCATACGAACACTACTACTAATGATAATAATAATAATAATAATAATATTAATAATAATAGTAAGAATAAGAATAATAATAATAATATCAATAATAATAATAATACCAATATTAATAATACTACTAATACGAATAACACTAATAATACTAATAATAGGACACATAAGAATAATACGAATATGAATAATAAAAATAATACTAGTAATACTAAGAATACGAATATGAAGAAGAAGAAGAAAACGAAGAAGAATAAGAGGAGAAGGAGGAGGAGGAGGAGAGGAGGGCGGCACCGCCAGGCTCCGAGTCCCGCCCCGAGAGGCCCGACACCGTCGAGGGGCATGCGAAGCACTCGGCGGCCACAGTGCACGGCAAGTTCGTGCGGCGTCGGCGCGCGGCTGTCCTCCTCGTTTTCCTCCTCCTTGTCTCCCCCCTCCTCCTCCTCCTCCTCCTCCTCCTACCTCCTCCTACTCCTCCCTCCTCCTCCTCCTCCTCCTCCTCCTCCTCCCCTCCCCCTCCTCCTCCTCCTCCTCCTCCTCCTCCTTCCTCCTCCTCCTCCTCCTCCCTCCCCTCCTTCTCTCTCATCTCCTCCTGCTCCTCCTGCTCCTCCTCCTCCTCCTCCTCTCCTCCTCCTCCTTCCCCTCCTCCTCCTCTCCTCCCCTTCTTCTCCTCCTCCTCCTCTTCCTCTCCTCCTCCTCCTCCTCCTCCTCCTCCATCCCTCCTCCTCCGCCTCCTCCCTCCTCCTCCTCCTCCCTCCTCCTCCTCCTCCTCCTCCTCCTCCTCCTCCTCCTTTCCGCCCCTCCTCCTCCTCCTCCCCTCCTCCTCCTCCTCCTCCTCCTCCTCCTCCTCCTCCCTCCTCCTCCTCCTCCTCCTCCTCCTTCTCCTCAGCCATTTCGCGCCTGAGCGGCCCCCCCTGCACGGGGCGCGCAAGGGTGTTTCGCGGGCCAACTTCGAAATGGCACTGCTCGCGAGAGCCGACATCGAGAGGCGTGGCGCCCCACGTCATCAGCCACAATGCTGAGATCAGGCGCGTGCGCACCCGCCAGGAGACTGGGCTCCCTCCGCCCTCCCTTCCTTTGCCTCGTCGTCCTCTTGCTCCTCCTTCCCCTTCCCCTCGTCAGTCTGGCGAGCTGCAGCGCCGGCAATCCGAGCGCCGCGGCGGAAGTGCAGGCAAAGCATGGGCTTGATCAGCTACAGTGTAGGGATCAGGCCGTGCGAGAAGGCAAGCAGTGGCAGTTGGCGCTGGCGCTGCGAAGAAACTGCGGGTGGGCCACGATCAGCAGGACCGCTGGGAGCAGCCCGTGGGAGAAAGGGGGCAAGCAGTGGCAGCCGACGCTGGCGCTGCGAGAAAAGTGCGGGTGGGCCACGATCAGCAACAACGCTGGGAGCAGCCCGTGCGAGCAAGAAGGCAGGCAGTGGCAGCAGGCGCTGGCACTGTGTCCAGGTGAAGGACGAGCCCGATGCCGTCAGCTACATCCGACGCGACGTTGGAAGCCGGCGGTGAGGAGGGAGGCCGTTCAAGGACGAGCCCGATGCCATCAGCCACAGCGTTGGGATCAGGGCAAGGTGAAGACATGTAAGGAAAGCGAGCAGTGCACGAGTAACGTCATCAGCTACCAAGCTGGGATCAGCTCGGGTGCGAAGGCAAGCAGTGGCAGCAGGAGCTGGCAATGCGAAAAGGGCATGCAGTGGCAGCAGGATCTGGCATTGCGAGAAAATGTCAAGTGCAGGAGCGGACATCTTCAGTTACAGCGCTGGGATCAGCTCGTGTGCGGAAGGGCTGGGAGTCAGTGGAAGCACCTTGCGAGAAGCGGGGGGCGAAGCTGGAACCCAATATTGTCGGGCACTCTGTGGCAAGCCTCTTGCGAGAAGCGGGGGGCGAAGCTGGAGCCCACTAGTGTCGAGAGCTCAGGGCCAACCTCTTGCGAGAAGTGGGGGGCGATGTTAGAGCCCAGTATCGGCGGGAGCTCTGTGAGAAGCCTCTTGCGGGAAGCCGGGGGTGAAGCTGGGGCCAAATTTAGTCGAGAGCTCTGGGCAAGTTTCGTGCGAGAAGTGGGGGGCGTAGCTGGAGCCCAATATCTTAGCTACAACGATGGCATCAACTCGTGCGAGAAGGGGAAGACAGGCAGTGGCAGCAAGGACTGTCAGGCGTGTCAGCCGTGTTCTAGGCCAAGCTTTTCTGACGGTCAGTGTAAGTGGACGGTATTGTGAAGGAGGTATCCACCATCCCGAACGAGAACGGCCAAGGGTAGACTGATTCGTTATGGGAGTGCGGCCATTCAACAGGAACGCCTATGTAAGTACGGCTTGCAAGGCGTGAGGCGGCTTGCGTGGTGCTCTCCATCTGCGTAAGTCCTAAGTAGCACAATCCTCGCACAATCCCCCTCCCCCTCCCCTCCCCCTCGCCTCCCCCTCCCCCCCTCCTCCTCCCTCCTACTCCTCCTCCTCCTCCCTCCTCCTCCTCCTCCTCCTCCTCCTCCTCCTCCTCCTCCCCCGCCCTCCTCGTGCCTCGATCCCAGCCCCCCTCCATCCCAGACCCCTCCTCGCCCGTCCCCTCCCCTCCTCGATCGCCCCCCCCCCTTCGATCCCAGACCTCCTCGATCCACATACGTACCCTGCAAATCGGGCCAGCTCGACTCGAAGAGCTCCCACACCCCCACCCTCAAGCGATCACTGAACGCGCTCGCTCTGTCCTTGCAACCTGGCACCCGTAATATTCACTATTCACCATGAGATTGGTCGATGGGCGTGGGCGCGATCGTCGCCAACCTGTCGGGCACGGGAGCCATGGCCCTCAGCTCGATCAGCAGCCTCTTCGTGCGCTCCACGACGCCGTCGGGCAGAATGGGGCGGGTGCAGAGGTCGCTCAGCATCATCCCGTTCAGCTCCTTCAGCAGACTCGGGCTGAGCAGCCGCACGCCCATGGGGCGCCCCGCAAACTGCGGCAGGCCCACGACGTCGTAGCGCCACTCCTCCAGCGCCTGTGCCGCCCTGCTCCCCAGGCCGAGCTCGCCGACCTTCGCCTGCAGCACGGGCCACACCATGCCGATCTTGCTGCAGTCGTCCACCCCGCCGAACACGGCACGGCTCTTCTTGCACAGGCAGCTCCTGCGCGCGCAGCGCGGATTGTGGCACATCGTGCAGGCGCCACCGTGTGGGCAGCGGCCGCCGGACGCCACGTGCCTGCACAGCGACTGGCACAGCTTCGGATGGCCGACGCTCCCGAGGCTGGGGGGGTTCACGCACGGCTCGTCGACTGCGCCGGCCGAGGCCTTCGCGCGCGGCGCTGCCATCGGATCCAGCGGCAAGGACGCCATGGTGTCCACTTGATCTACTTCGCACCCGGACAGCAGCTCTGCCTCGAAGTCTGAGCTCTGAGCAGAGGAGGAGCCACCCTCCCAGGCTGCATCGTCGAGATCTTCCTGGCCCTTCAGCGGCTGGCAGTCAGCTGCCTCGCCCGCCATCACCGTCATGCTGCGCAGAAGGGCCGTGAAAGCAAGCTGGCAGGCCGACCTGGGGCGACAAACACAGGCACCAAGGCAACAAATCGCAAGCCTCCCTCGACCGCGGCTCGAGCCGAAGACGTCGTTCACGGCGCAGCGCGCGCTGAAAGGTCCCCCCATGGCCGGTTCCAGAAACCCCGAATCCAAAAATGTTGACGGCTCGCTTTTCCGCCCCCGTGCCTGTGAGGCACGAGTCGGAGGGTCGCCGACGTCGTGTGTTTTTTCTCACGTCGACCCCCAGAGGTCCGGACCCCTTCGCCGGGACCAGTCTTTCATCCCGAATCGATGTTTGACGGTCCCGAGGCCCAGTAAGAGCCCCCGTAGGCCGAAAATAGCGACAAACCTCCCCTCGTGTTTTTTTCACAAAGCGAGGGGGTCTGGGATCAGGTCCCCTGCTCAGTTCCCCGAGCCTGTCCTCAATCCTGAAGTCTTTTTTGAGCAGGGACCGATCGTCCTGGCATTTCTGTAGGCCTACCACGAAATGCAGAACCCATGAATGCTCGAAGAGCAAAAACGATGATCTTAGAACATAAGACCGATGTGTAAAAGCAAGACACTAAGAACATTTCGTGCAGACCAGAGAAGGTTCCTAGAACATTCTTTGGTAGGCCAATAGGCGAGCTGGGACGCTTCGCCACTGCCTGACTTTTACGCGGCCCGGGCGCCAACCTCCTGAGGAGAAATCTCCTGGACCTCCCCCGGCGTGCCTACCGGGCCTGGCGCAGGATTTTCCTGAGGATTTTGAAGGATTTGGGCATCGTCGTCTTATCAGCTCTCCGACGGCCCAAGACGGCCCAAGAGGCCCCCAACATCGTCCCCAGAGCGCCCAAGAGGCCTCCAAAATGGCCCCATGACAGCCCAAGAGGCCCCCAAGAGGGCCCCTAAGAAGAGCCCAAGACGGCCCAAGAGGCCCCCAAGATCGCCCCCAGAGCGCCCAAGAGGCCTCCAAGATGGCCCTATGACAGCCCAAGAGGCCCCCAAGAGGGCCCCAACAAGACCCCAAGACGGCCCAAGAGGCCCCCAGGACGCCCAAAATGGCCTCAAAGACGGCCAAGATGTCCTCCAACATGCCTCCCAAGATGCACCCAAGACAGCCCCAGATGGCCTGAAGATGGCCTTAGACTGCCCATAAGGCCCGCCAGAGGCCTCCAAGACGGCCCAAGACCCCTCCAAGACGTCCTCCAGGAGGCTCGGAACCTCGGAAACCACCTGGTCCGATAGCTCGCCCGACTTCGTGTTCCCCGAAGGCTTCCGAAACCCACTCGGGGAACGCGTGGCCCCATAGCCTGGCCAAGCTCAAACCCAACTTTCGGCCACGCAGGCGCTTCCAAAAAGGCAGGGAGCGGCGGTGATTCGCCGAAGGTGTCTTCGATCCGCCGCCCCCTGTGGCTTGCCACAGGGGTGCACGACGTGCCAGATTTCTGATGCTTCCAAGAGGAGGTGGAGGAGAAGAGAGGTAGAGAGGAGAGGAAGGAGGTAGAAGGAGGAGGAGAGGAGGAGGAGGAGGACGAGGAGGAGCGAAGAGGAGGAGCGAAGAGGAGGAGCGAAGAGGAGCGAAGAGGAGGAGGAGGAGGAGGAGGAGGAGGAGGAGGAGGAGGAGGAGGAGGAGGAGAAGGAGTTCTTTCTGCAAGTCCCAGGGGCCCCCGGCCCGACCCGCCGGCACCCCCAGGAAGGGCGCGCAGGGACGAGGAAGTGCGCGTGCAGACCTAGCTGCCCCCAAAAGCATTGCCTCCACGAGGACCCGAAAACTTCCCAGGTCGTCGGCCTTCCCGCTCAGACGGTCCCAACATGGTCTCCAAGACTGCCAAGATGGTCTCCAAGACGGCTGCGATGGCCCCACGAGAGCCCCATATGGCATGCAGACTGTCTTCAAGACGGGCCGAGAGATGCTCCCAAGATGGCCTCAAGATCGCCCAAGACGGCCTGCAAGACGGCCTCCAAGAGGACCTCCAGGAAGGCCCGAACAGGCCAAGACGGCCTCAGAGGCCAACGGCGCCCAAGAGATCTCCAAGACGTCCAAGATGGTTTCGAAGACAGCCCTGAAGCGCACCATTTCAGCCCAAAGTCGGCCCAGAGAGGCCCCCAAGACGCCGATGGCATCAGACGGGCCAGGAACGCCCTCAGACGGCCAAAGAGCCTCCCAAAGAGCCGCCAAAGGCTCCCAAGAGGCCCAAAGGGGGCCCCCAAGAGGCCTCCCACTGGCCCCGAGGAAGCTCCCAAGAGCCAAGAGGCTCCAAAGGTGCCCCAAGAGGCTCTGACAAGTGTCTCCTCCTCCTCCTTTTCCTCCTTCTCCTCCTCCTTGTTCCTTTCTCTCCTCCTCTTGTTATTCTTGTTTGTCTACACCACGTGTTCCCCGAAGGGTTTCCAAAATGGCTGGGGGACCACACAGTCCGATGGCTTCGCCGAGCTCTGGCCGCAACGTTCGGCCAAACAGGCGCTTCCAGAAGGCAGGGGACAGCGATGATTCACCGTAGGCGTCTAAGATCCCCCCCCCACTGTTGGATTGCCAACAGTGGGGGGAGGAGGAGGAGGAGGAGGAGGAGGAG